GAGCAGGAAGTTCCCAGAGACGACTTTTCTGATTTGATTGTGGATGAGCTACAAGTGGATAGAACGCCTGAACAACTCATCCCAAGAAAGACTAGAGCAACCACATCCAACACTAGACCGAGCATAGAGGAGGTTCGTCTACTCAAGTTTTTAGACCTTTAGTTTGGGGTTTATTATGGTAGCTGGCATTAGTAAGAATAAAGGCAGCTCAGGACCCAAGTTGGCCTTTTGTAGGAAGCATTTAAAACATCTACACCAATTTCTGCTGTACCATCACGACTACGTTCTATGAGATTGAACGACAGGACACTCGACATGAAGAAACCTTTCAAACCGAAGTAAATCTGACGTTTTGTTTCGATTCAGCAATCGGGGTTCGTACCTAGCGTTTTCAGCTTCCGAGGTTTAACCCAAGCCGTTGAGAACATACCCTCTCCAGGATCGACTAGTGGAGACACGAGCAATGATTCTTTGGTAAATTGTACTTTGTTTTATTACCTATTCAGTTGTCCTAGCGTTATTGCTAAATTTCGTTTCCGCCACTTCAGACTACTACAATGGTTGGTCGAATTTTGAAGGAAGGAGTTATCAAGACAGCTACCGGTAAACCTCAACGAAACGCCCGTGCTGGTGCCAACTCTCTGAATACTTCTGCATCCGCTCATGATTTGGGGGCACACTCACCTTCAAAGAAAAGGGTATCCCCTTTTTGTCTTAAACTTAATTCATTGAAAGCACCATCTTTTTTCTTTTTTCCCTATAAAGCCTATTTTTCAGAGTACCCGAAAGTGTGTAACAAGACAGGGTTCCGCAGCAAAGACAGTGTGTAGTACCATTGAAAGACCAGAGTTGGACGAAATGATGGCATTACGGGCTCAGATGACGGAAAAGCTGCAGCAACGGAATCGAGAATTTGGTGTGTGAAATATTCAAATTCTTCTAAAAATATCCGAAACGATCGTTTACTTAACTTACAGCTATCCAACTCGCTGAACGCACTGCAACTGCAAAGGATTTACCGTCGGAACAGCCATCTCAAGTAGGCTCGCTTCGTGGTCGCAAACGTGGCCAACCATCTACAGATGATGCTGAACGGCCCTCTAAACGATCTTCCCAAACTTCAACTGGGAACTCATCAGAACAAGAGACTCTTCGGCCTTTGATAGAATGGCAACCAGCAGTGCCGAGCAAGTGAGACATTTTTTTCACTGGTCATCGGATAGCTTCCACGGTCATATGTTTGATGGTTGAATTTCTCTTTCGATCTGAACAGCTCCGGCAATTACATATCACACTTTTACTCTCGCAAAGTTATTCTTAGCAGGTCAAAAAAATTTCAGGTTGACTTCCAATTCTATTCTTAACTTCGAAGAGCCCTTAAATGTGACGCGTCCCCCGGTTAGCATCCTTTTTCAACCAATTTCAGTCCTTTCGGTTTTTTTTATTGTTGGTTAATTCTACTTTGTTTGTTAAGCTGCCACATTGAATAATCCCATGTATGTGCATTTAAGGTATCACAAGGAACGAACTTCAGTGATGATTTTGGACAAGAGCCGTTAGCGAGAGGAACGAGCGAAGTACAGAATAGGTATGCATACTGCTTCTAATCAATCTGAGAGTATGGAAACATTTACAAATCGAACTTGAAAAGAGTAGATCGCTGCGAAATTTGCCAAAGTAGTGTTTCGAAAAATAATGGTATGTTTTCCTCTCCTCCACGTTTGCGATTCATCCGAGTTCATATTACAGAACAACCGAAAAGCAGCCGGGACCGGCTTCAGACGACTTCGACAGAACTTCGAGTAGAACGGATATTCGGCGAACAGCCTCTGGACCATCTGTGTCTGTCGCACGAGCTCCACCACAATCTGCAGCCCAGTCCTTTTCGCCGAATCCACCAAGAACAGTGCATGAAATATCTACGGCTTGCCTAGCAGAAGCTGGAGGGCGTAATACACCTCAGCTGCCCCAGGGCTCTACTTCTTCCCGAGGCCCAGGTCACTCAAATATGCATGCAACATCGTCAAGCTTACGTAGGGCTGCCGGTGGTGATGCTCTAACGGGGGATGTGGGTGAAGTAGAAACCAGAAAATCACTCCCAAATGCTGCTATTCACGCAAACGAGGATCGAGCAGGATCTGGCAAAGCCAATGGCGACTCTTCAAAGCCATCATCGGCACGTATTTCCGTCAAACAAGAAAGGACCTCTATTGTGTTCAGCAACACCGTTCGACGATTCATATTCACATCAGTACTTCCACACGTATGTTTTTATGGTTGAAATATCTGAAGCTATCTTACATACCTAAAATTTTGCAAGCTAGTAGCTTATTCTTGATATTATGAGATGTGAGGTAAAAACCAATCTGATAGTGAAGAGTGGAAAAAGAGTAGTCGGTTGGCAGTGGCGTTGCGTAAAAAGTTAATGAATTCGATTAATTAATTTCTCTATATAGACCATCGCCTTTGCTTCAATAAATATTAAACGAGATTATTCCAAAAAACTTTTCGAATTTGAG